TCATCATCATCATCATCATCATCATCATCATCATCATCATCATCATCATCATCATCATCATCATCATCATCATCATCATCATCATCATCATCATCATCATCATCATCATCATCATCATCATCATCATCATCATCATCATCATCATCATCATCATCATCATCATCATCATCATCATCATCATCATCATCATCATCATCATCATCATCATCATCATCATCATCATCATCATCATCATCATCATCATCATCATCATCATCATCATCATCATCATCATCATCATCATCATCATCATCATCATCATCATCATCATCATCATCATCATCATCATCATCATCATCATCATCATCATCATCATCATCATCATCATCATCATCATCATCATCATCATCATCATCATCATCATCATCATCATCATCATCATCATCATCATCATCATCATCATCATCATCATCATCATCATCATCATCATCATCATCATCATCATCATCATCATCATCATCATCATCATCATCATCATCATCATCATCATCATCATCATCATCATCATCATCATCATCATCATCATCATCATCATCATCATCATCATCATCATCATCATCATCATCATCATCATCATCATCATCATCATCATCATCATCATCATCATCATCATCATCATCATCATCATCATCATCATCATCATCATCATCATCATCATCATCATCATCATCATCATCATCATCATCATCATCATCATCATCATCATCATCATCATCATCATCATCATCATCATCATCATCATCATCATCATCATCATCATCATCATCATCATCATCATCATCATCATCATCATCATCATCATCATCATCATCATCATCATCATCATCATCATCATCATCATCATCATCATCATCATCATCATCATCATCATCATCATCATCATCATCATCATCATCATCATCATCATCATCATCATCATCATCATCATCATCATCATCATCATCATCATCATCATCATCATCATCATCATCATCATCATCATCATCATCATCATCATCATCATCATCATCATCATCATCATCATCATCATCATCATCATCATCATCATCATCATCATCATCATCATCATCATCATCATCATCATCATCATCATCATCATCATCATCATCATCATCATCATCATCATCATCATCATCATCATCATCATCATCATCATCATCATCATCATCATCATCATCATCATCATCATCATCATCATCATCATCATCATCATCATCATCATCATCATCATCATCATCATCATCATCATCATCATCATCATCATCATCATCATCATCATCATCATCATCATCATCATCATCATCATCATCATCATCATCATCATCATCATCATCATCATCATCATCATCATCATCATCATCATCATCATCATCATCATCATCATCATCATCATCATCATCATCATCATCATCATCATCATCATCATCATCATCATCATCATCATCATCATCATCATCATCATCATCATCATCATCATCATCATCATCATCATCATCATCATCATCATCATCATCATCATCATCATCATCATCATCATCATCATCATCATCATCATCATCATCATCATCATCATCATCATCATCATCATCATCATCATCATCATCATCATCATCATCATCATCATCTGTGGACAGATCAACAGTTTGGAAACTCTTCTCGCAATACCTGGAAAAGTCTTCAACACGGTATTGTTTTGCTGGTTGAAGGACTGCGTAAACGCCCAACTTCGTGACCAACAGGCAGGATTCCGTAAGGTTAGATCATGTACAGACCAAATCGCAACTCTACGGATCATTGTGGAACAATCAATTGAATGGAATTCATCACTCTACATCAACTTCATTGACTACGAATAGGCATTTGATAGCGTGGACAGAACAACACTATGGAAAATTCTTCGACACTACGGCATACCTCAGAAGATAGTCAATATCATACAGAACTCATATGATGGATTGCACTACAAAATCGTGCATGGAGGACAGTTGACAAAGTCGTTCGAAGTGATGACCGGTGTTAGGCAAGGTTGCTTACTCTCACCCTTTCTCTTTCTCCTGGTGATCGACTGGATCATGAAGACATCAACGTCTGAAGGGAAGCACGGGATACAATGGGCATCTAAGATGCAGTTGGATGATCTAGACTTCGCAGACGATCTGGCCCTTCTATCCCAAACGCAACAACAGATGCAGGAGAAGACGAACAGTGTGGCAGCAGCCTCATCAGTAGTAGGTCTCAATATACACAAAGGGAAAAGCAGGATTCTTCGATACAACACAGAATGCACCAATCCAATCACAATTGACAGAGAAGATTTGGAAGATGTAGAAACATTTACGTATTTGGGCAGCATTATTGATGAACAGAGTGGATCTGATGCGGATGTGAGGGCGCGGATCGGCAGTGCAACAGCAGCACATTTACAACTGAGGAACATCTGGAACTCAAAGCGACTGTCAACCAACACCAAGGTCAGGATTTTCAATACAAATGTCAAGACAATTCTACTGTATGGGGCAGAAACCTGGAGAACTACGAAATCCACCATCCAGAAAATACAGGTGTTTATTAACAATTGTCTACGCAAAATACTTCAGATCCATTGGCCGGACACTATTAGCAACAACGTACTGTAAAAGAGAACAAACTAGATCCCAGTGGAGGAAGAAATCAGGAAGAAGCGCTGGAAGTGGATAGGACACACATTGAGGAAAGCACCCAACTGCGTCACAAGACAAGCCCTCACATGGAATCCTGAAGGTCAAAGGAAAAGAGGAAGACCAAAGAACACATTACGCCGAGAAATGGAGATAGACATGAGAAAAATGAACAAGAATTGGATGGAACTAGAAAAGAAGGCCCAGGACAGAGTGGGTTGGAGAATGCTGGTCAGCGGCCTATGCTCCATTGGGAGTAACAGGCGTAAGTAAGTAAGTAAGTAACTTCATAACCTTCGAGTTAGACTTTAATTTTGTGATGTTGCGAGCTGATAATTGTCTGAGTAACATAGATTTATGTATAAAGTGGATAAAAATCGGTTTGTTAAGCAATGTTTCATTCTAAGTAAATTCGAGATAAAATGTTGACTATCCTAGTGATTTGAAATCGATATACTACAGAACGTCTTTGAATATGTATTCGAAACGTTAACTTGATAAATAAGTGGGATTCGCTTGGATTCGGAAATTACTACTTCCTAGTTTCATTCAGTGTTACAACTTCTAATACATTTTGACATGTATGCATTTAGTTTCTAATGTGTCGGTCAAAATAAACAGATTTTACTGCCTAGTTATTTTGGACCTATCAGACCGGACTATAGGGCAGTAGAACAGTTGTACTGATCTAGTCCGAGCATCAACTAGTTAGCCTAAACTATAAATCTAGTACTAAGGACCGTCAGCTAACCATTGATATGCTGAATGTGAGATAACATCCAAGAGTAACTAGTTAATTATTGGCCCAGAACTCAGTTTCCCATGCTTGCTTGCCTGATAACCAAAATAGGGAACAACCCAACAACCAGATAGTATCTGATTATACGTTTCGAATCTATGAATACCTCTTATAATAATATAGAGCGAAATCGTGACCACACGTTAATAGAGTTAATGAATTACAATATGGGCACAACTGTGCCATAAATGGAAGAGAACTGAGTGGTAGGTCCTTCATAAATTAATTTTGATATAGGAAAGACGAAACAAGATCTTACAAGTGGGGAATACAAAAATGTGACGGTTAAACTATTTAAGAATTGAACAACAAAAAATGTCAACAATAACTTCATGTAGGATCGTTCCGAAAGTTCTCTTTCGTTTTATATTTATCCCGATATAGCAGTTTCATTGTAACTCACGATCTGTTGATTACTCCCACTGAACTAATTATTCATTGTTGATTTATAAGTTGTTTTTATAAATATCTTCACATTTTCTATGGAAGTTTATAAGCTAGAGGATCAACATGTAGTGGTTTCATACTGACAAAAAGTACCAAAGGTAAATTCCAAAGCTTGTTTACCTCGTATTATAAATAGTCGATTAGCCCCTAACACGATAAATGCAAAGTACTGAATTTCATTAATAGGCATTTATCTGTATATTATCAACAGTCATTTTTATAGCTATCCTTCCATTCATATTCTTGCTTTGTTCGTTTGTACTATTTAAACTTGGGTTTATTTAATTTGGTTATTTATTCTCTAAAGAATTGTCTTACACTGAGTCACGAAACTTCAGAAATTTAAGAACCCTATTTTTTTCTTACTCATAAGGGTATTACAAATATATTATTTTTATTAATAGCGATCTACTCAATCCTCAATTCATTTCACATGATCAAGTCAAACCATGGTATTGGCACCTATCCTCATTTCGTTCATTTATTTTAATAGTTTGGCTTTAATCTCCTTTCGATTTTACCCTATTCTTTCTTGTAACAGGTTTGTCGATTAGCTTACGAATTGATGCAGTCTAATCATTTAGAATTAGGTGATGCAAGTCAACAATTTCGTTCATTGGATGATATATATTACTTCGGTGGACAACAAGCCTCACCATATGAAGTATTAATATCAAGCAAAGAACATGGTTTATCTCCTGGTGATTTAGTCCACTTCCATGGTAATCATTGGAATGGTTACGCAAAGGTTGAAAAATTGAATACTAATCGTAAAGTAATGGCACCAGCATTTAAATTCTCTCCAAGATTAATAACTGCTCCTATGATCGGTGCACATGGAAATCGGTCTGAATTTATTATTGATTATAAATAATTGTATTTTTCTAAATAGGAAGATTATTTCGTTCATGTTTTTCTTCTTTCCTTTGTACCACTAACTTGCTGATTTATGGTTTTATATTTGAAAGACATCGAACCTCATTTTTTTATTGTAGCGTCGATGCTCTCAGCTAAAGACTTTACAGATCAAGTTGAAATTGATCTACATATATATGGCAAGTATTGTGGAGCGTATGCTTTTCTGACTTCATTGTATACACGCAAATGTTTATACACATATCCTGTGGTCTTGATGTGATATATATTGACTGCACAATTGTATGATTGGTGTTTGTTTGTTGTTGTTTTTTGTGTATCGTTTATTCCATGTGTTGTAGTGTAGTGTAGTGTGGTGTGTAATTTGTAAAATATGACATATCGAATGAATGAGTTATTGTTTGTTGCTTTAGATAGTGATGTGGAGTACCAACAACAGATAGCCTTTTATCTTTAGAAATATGCTTGAATGCAAATATCACCAAGTTCCACTGGTGGGATCCAAACAGTAATTATTTGACATTAAAAACGAAAAACATGTATTTGTAAAATGTCAGCGAATGAATTTGAAGTAATAGATCAAACGTTTCTCCTGGCAATCTGGTCCAATCCTTTCAAGGAATTATAATCAAGCATCAAATCTATCAAATAGAAATAGAAATAAGTACATAGTTCTCTGGTTAACTGTATGCTAAATAAGTCATCCAATCAACCTTAACAATGTTTATTTTAATGTGCAAGAGACATGTGGTGTGAAATGAAAAGTGTGTTAACCTAACAGATTGTGTGTATTCGTACGTGGTATGAGAAGAGATCTCATTCACTATATATTATTGCCTGTGATCGGTGAGTTTTTAAGAAACACATAAATATGATATAAATCAAAAATATGTCACAACATGCATAAAATGAAAATAAATAAACAAAATAAAAAATGACGGACAAACAGATGACCATCAGGACTCAATAACTAAGTGGATAACGTGATGGCTTTTGAAGCGAACGGTACTGGGTTCGAGTTCTATAGTGAACATCAACTCTAGCTGACAAGTCCCAAATAAGATGGAAGATGCGTCCTAGATTCCACTATCCGTCTTTGCTTAGAGTTAAGACAATCCGCACATGTGCCAGTAAGAGACTGATGAATTGCTGTCCTAAACAACAATGGGAAGATACAAGCAAACAACATCAAGTGAATTTGAAGGAATAAATGTTTGTGTCATTTTTATTTTTCTAGTTAATTGTTTAATATAAGACAACTGACTAGAACAGTTTGTATTTGTTGTTATTCAGAAAATGAATGGTGTATTAAATGAAATAGGGCGTTCAGGTTTACTTATCAGTTATTATTTTCCATGGAATAGCCAATTGTATTCCATCTCTCCTATTAGTACTATTTGGATTTGCCCATATATGTAGGGCTTCGACTATTAGTCTTTCTTTGTAAGAATTAAAACCTTTTCGAAGGATTGTGTCATTGAAATCAACTGTATGACCCTATTCTATTGAGTGTAATGCTATCGCTAATTTGTTTACAAGTGTTCTTTTTTAAAATCATCTGATGATTTGGGAATGCGCTTTTAGCATAGCTTGTGTTCCTTCTACCTGGACAGGTTAATTCTAAATATAAGTCTTTTCTTTCATAGATATTCTTGGATGTAATTTAGGTTCATCATATACAAACATGAACCATATCATACAATAAACAAAGCTGATTGCACCTTTTATGTTATAAGAAAGTTTAAGAATAGGCAAACATGAATGTTTAAAAGCACCAGTTTGTTGCTAGATCAACTGATCAAATAAATTTATATTTGATGTCGGATATTCGAAGGAGTCAGTCAGCTACAACGTAGGACTAGGCACATATATGCATTGGTCCAAGTTGCCATACCTCATTAACACAACAAGATGGACACCGGATTCATAGAAGTATTTAATTCAGAGGTGGTAATATATAAAAGAAAGATTGCAATAAGGATACAGTACGGGAAGAAAGATATGAAGCGATTTTAATCTCTCAGTTTAAGGGAAGACAGAGAGTGTATACACCGACGCCATTGTGATAGATTCTGAGCCATATCACACAGTCTCCAATCATTGATTATGATAGTCACGCGGACCCCAACCATGTAGTCTGCATCTCCCAACATGGCCCAGACTAGAAGTTAATGACTTCAAGCACTGATCCCACGTTTTGATTTGGCCCCCTCTAACTTTCTTCCATCCATCCCCAACACTAGTCAGCATTGCGCGTCATGGTAATCAGTGTTCAGCCATACGCAACACGTGGCCCAACCATCTCAGACGATGAAGATTCGCAACCTAATCAACTGATTTGCCACCATTCCCTAATACCCTGCGTCTAACCTCACTATAACTTACCTGGTGATCCCAGGAGATGCGAGCAATATTTCAAGGACATCTGTGGTCAAATACTAGTAGCTTACGAGTATCTTCTACTCTTAATGGACATGTTTCGCTGCCGTAAATTAAAACAGCGAACTTCCGCGCAGTATACTCGTTTTTTTATTGATAGACGGATATGTCGCCTTCGCCATAGGTGACGTAAGTTGGCAAAAGCCAAATGGGCTTTTCGAATCCGTGCTGAGATTTCGTCAGACACCAACTCATTAGGGTTGATCAAACTTACAAGATAAGTGAAGTTGTTAATACGTTCGACTACTTCACTCCCTATCCTTAGTTCAGGTGTTGACGCAGACCAGTCGTGAAGCAGCAGCTTGCATTTAGAGGGAGAGAAGTGCATTCCAAACATTTTGGCATTGTTGCTCAGTGCTAATAAAATACTCAGTATTTAATCAGCGACTTTTTCTGCGTATTCTAAGTCGGTAAGTAGACCTCCTGGTAGGAGATCAATGTCTTAAAATTCTGTCGACGAGCGTTATTTCCAGCAGTAGTTCTATGATGAAGTTCAACAAAAATGGAGAAAGTGGACAGCCTTGCTGGACACCACTTGAGGTTCGCCATAAGCTCTGACTCGACTAGTAGTGTTCGAGTGAAGAGCCTTCACAAGGTTTATGTACTTCTGAGGTACGCCTTTCAATGACAGACAGTGTCACAGAATCTCGCGGTCTGCGGGGTCAAATGCTGCCTTTAAGTCAAGAAAAACCACCATTGTCGGATACCGATAAGTATGCCTGTGTTCTAGAACCTGATGAATGGTGAATATGTGGTCGATGCACCCACGACCCAGACTCCGTGTGTCTTAATTCTCGTCAACTAAGTGTATGTCTACAACTTTCAGTGTGGCTACAAGTTTAAGTGACTTGGAATCGCTTGCAACGTAATCCGTAGAAGTCGATCGGCATTAAAAACTGGACGAGCACAACATTGGTTACTACTCAGTAGTTATCAATTTAGATATCTCGGTTCTCTATGATTTCAGTCACGTAGTATCCTACCGAGTGTTTGTGGAAAATTTATATGTGGTGAGATAAGCGGACAATCCTATCGATTATTATTTGAGGTAGACAGTTCTGGTGACAGGTCGCCGTAATCTTAAGCTTAACTAGTGTCTTAGTAGATAGCCTTCATTAGGTTTACATTCTATTTCAATATAAAATAGCTGCAATTCTTATTACTAACAAAATGTATCAGTTATCTATGGCTCCAGGGATCGTAGGTCATTTCAATACATACTCATTGGCTAAAATGCTACTATGCATGTTCCTACCTGTACGAGTATTGATTGAAGTAGAAGTACAAAATGTAGATTGGTAATTCACAACAGAAGAGAAACGTGATACTCTCAAGTTCCTTAAAACCCCTTACTGCCGATATAAATTATTATATGTATTTAAGTAGTAATGACTCCAGTGCAGAACAGATATATATTTGAATACGTACATTTCGTACAATCGTTGATCGGTACAGACAGTCAGAGAAACGCAGAGAAGGAAAAGGAGAGGTGTGTGAGTCAGTTCGATCTAACCAATTGTGAATCGATATTTATAATCAAAATAAAAATAAGCTAAAGACATACTGAGTAAGATTAGAAATGCGCACACATACGTTCATATAAAAGTAAGGTTGATACGCGAATAATTAACAAGGTCAAAATGTGACTCAATTTGCCTGTTCGGAAGTTAGAATAAGCTGTGTGGGCTTGATACAGCAACCGAACTGGAATATGAAGACCTCGACATCTGAGGGAAAGCATGGAATACAATGGACAGATCGGAATCAATTAGAAGATTTGGACTTGTAGATGAACCGGTCTTTCTATCCCATATACATCAAAAAATGCAGGTCAAGACAGACTGTAGCAGCAGCCTCTGCATCAATAGGCCTCAACATACACAAAGGAAATCGCGACATCCTCAAATACAACACGAAGAATACCAACCCAATCACAGTTGTTGGAGAAGCTGTGGAAGGTTTCACGTATCTGGGTAGCATCATCGATGAACGTGGAGGATCAAGCAATATCGAGGTTACAATTTTTAATACGAACGTCAAAACAGTTAGTTATATTGTAGGGAACTGAAACTTGGAGAGCTGCCAAACACTTCTCCAAAATGTACAAGTATTTATAAACGGTTGTCTACGCAAGATACTCAATGTTCATTGACTGGGTACAATCAGCAACAGACTACTGTGGGAGAGGACAAATCAGCTTCCAGCTGAAGAGGAAATCAGGAAAAGCAGTTGGAAGTAGATAGGACATACATTGAGGAAATCACCAAACTGCATTACGGGGCAAGCTGGAATCCTGAAGAGAAATGGAAAAGAGGAAGGCGAAAGAACACACTGCGTCGAGAATCGGAGGTATACATGAAAAGGATAAATAGCAACTGGAAACGATTGTTTAGAACAGGGTTGAATAGAGAGTGCTGATGAGCGGTCTATGCTTCTCCATGAGGGGTAACAGGCGTAAGTAAGCAAGTAGATAATACATACAATCGAAAATGGAGCAGTCTTTGACATGGTATTCTTATTCTTATGGTTTGACTCTTATTTCTCACATAAATAATGTGGAAACTTAGCATTTGATCGAATTACTTCTTGAAATATATTTTGCCGATAATATCATATGGTTAGAATGAACGTCATCTTCACATTATACACCATCTTATCAAATGTATTACTTCAGTCAAATATAAAATGATTCTATATTCATAATCCCATAACTTTTAAGTTTAGTAAGAATCCATAGAACTGGAAAATGCGTCATTTTTTCTGTGAAATAGATACTATTTAAGTTAATCTAACTTGTTTTTGAAATGTACACAATGAAAGGTCAAATAATGCGAATTAATGACCTTATTGATTAAGATCATGTACCGAT